CAATCCACTCACCTCAGCCTCCCAAAGTGCTGGGATTACAGGCTGAGCCACCGAGCTGGCTGGGCCCCGAGTTTAACATAAAGGTTGCTCTGCAAACTCTAGGTTCGACTGTCCTTCCCCCTCCTTAAGAACTCAAAAGCTGGCTGGGCTCTCTTTTATTTACATAGAACACAGCTATGAGATCATCCAAATCAAATAATGAGGGAAAAGCTCTGCTTCTTATATTTATCATGAAATATGATCCATGGCTTTGAAAAACTGTTAAGATGGTACAAGGCAGAAAAGGAACAAATTAAACTATGAGCTCCAGAAAAGCAAGACTTGTATCTTATATGTCTTTATTTTTCTTCAGGGACTAACAAAGGATCCTGATCAATAATTCTAGAACTGAAAACATAAACAAGTGCCAAGAATAAATATCTGTAATTGATCCTATATATTCATATTTTATTTGGTTTCTAAATTCTGCAATGAACGCCTATTCAATGCATTTTGTATAAGAGAAAACAGATCTAAAGGGGCATATAAGTTCTGAAGCTCTAACGTTCAAAAGAGGGGGTTCTTATACTCACCATTTTGGGCAGCCTTTGTGTGCCTCCTGCTCCTGGTAAGAGCCCCAGCAAGACTTCAGGGGTGCCTAATACTGTTTTTCTATCTTTTGTTGCTATTCTGTATTGGCATGAAATGGCAAGCTTCAAACAAATGAAAGAAAATTAGAATGTTACAAAATGTAACTTAGTAGCATCCTGGGATCTGTGAGGGTCTAAACACTACTTATAAAGCATGGATGTTCCCATTAAATAACTGCAATTCCTTAGGCTGGCATTTGATAATTTCTATAATTTACCTTTTTCAGTCTTTTCCATACTTTTTCTCTAATACATTAACCTCTTTTTGGGTTGCAGAGCTCCTTAAAAATCTGCTGAAAGTTGTGGAGGCTCTCAATAGAAAAAGGCAAACTCAATTTTTTTTAACTGACCCCCATATTAAGAATCCCTGCACCCTTTCCCATCAAGCATGTCTGCATACAGTGTCTTAATAGGCTTTGCATATCCTTGCCTTTGCTCACACCACACTATAGATAGAATATTTTTCCTGCTACTTTCGGGGTTAATCAAACTCTGCCCATCTTTTAGAACCAGGCATAGTTTTTCTTAACATAGTCATGTGTTGCTTAACAATGGGGTATATTCTGAGAAATGCAGCACTAGGCAATTTCATTGTTGTGCAAACATCACAGAGTGTACTTACACAATGTAGATGGCAAAGCCTGCAGCAGGTTATTGTACTGAATACTACAGGCAACTGCCACACAACTACAAGTATCTGTGTACCTAAACACAGAAAAGGTACAGTAAAAATACAGTATTATCTCTTATGGGACCAGCATTGTATATGCGGTTGGTTGTTGACTAAAATGTTACGTGGCACATGACTGTGTATGTGAAAGTGTCTGGTATATAGCCCAAAGTGATAGATGCTCAGTGTTATTCCCTTCTCTCCTCCTTTCCGACATGTTACAGTCTAGTAAGCATTTCTTCTCTCAGATTTTCTGTTATTTACCACCTTTATTACTCACAAAGCACTTGAACATATATTATGCTTCATGTATTTTAGCTAGACTGATGTAGCTCAAGAGCAGGGATCACATTTCTGAATCTTTGCCCTACAAACCTGAATCAGAGTTTTACAATTGAATAGGACCTTAGAGATCCAGTTCAAATCTTCTCAATATATAAATGAAAACATCACACTTTGATTCACCTGCTCTGTGTCACTTGGTCTGTGTCACATAAATTAAGAATGAAAACCTGTCCAGAAGTTTGATAAGTAAAAACAAAGCTGATTCTCCTCTGAAAACTTTTTTTCAGGCAAAACAGTACTTTCAAGACTGACAGTTGATGAATGCCACCAATGAGATAGACAGTGTCTCAATGACACTGGAATAAATCTATACCTCAAGTCCTCCTCCCAAGCAGGATCCACTGATGGCAGCCACAACAGGCTTTGTGGATTTCTCAAGTTTCTCAAATGTTCTCTGTGCTTCCTGTGATATTTGTACTACTTCTTGAGGGGTCTTGCAAGCGGCTAACATGCTGCATTATCCATGAAAGTAGAGAACAGAGAAAAAGGAAAGATAAAACCATAAATTACTTTGTTCAATACCTTATTCACTATATGCTTACCCTACCATAATCAATATTTGGTAATGATCTTCAAATACTCAGATGTTTAAGGATAATTCTGTCTCAAATAGCACTAATATCAGCAACATTATCTCTTTATAAAGAGTGTTATATTTATAGATCAGAAAACATAAAACAAAGCATTCTGCATAATTTATTTTTGCTTTTATAAAAAAATCATTAAATTAATACACTCTGTATATGAGAAAATCATCTTTGGGTAAATATTTTCACTATTAAATATTTTCATTCAGGTGGTTATATTAGACAGCAATCAAAATGACAGCAAAAGCAAAGCTCTCAAGTTGTTTAGAGGGATCTAAAACCTTTAAATAAATCCCACTAATGATTAAAAAGAGATCTGGTACAATAATGTTGTACTTGATGCCCTTTAATTTTGGTTTGTTTCATTTGCTTCTTTGTTTCTGAACACATCTGGGATGTGGATTTTGACTAAAAATAACTAATATTTTATGTTACTTTATACACTGGGAGTTATTCAGTTGGCCTCATAGAAGCTGCACATATTTTCCTACAGATATAGGGAGCTACTGTCAAGTACATCAGTGCCTTATTAGGCCCAAACAGTTGAGCCACAAAAAAAGCACCTGTTACAGATATTTTGGTTGTTTTTTTTTTTTAATAAAAGAGAAAAAACATGAGTCCAGGAGGTTGACGTTGCAGTGAGCTATGATCATGCCACTGCAATCCAGACTGGGCAACAGAGTGAGACTCCGACTCAAAAAGAAAAAAAAAAAGCTGGGTGCGGTAGCTCACTCCTGTAATCCCAGCACTTTGGGAGGCTGAGGTAGGAGGATTCCCTGAGCCCAGGAGTTCGAGACCAACATGGGTAACATGGTGAGACCTTGTCTCTACCGTGTAATTCCAGCTACTCAGGAGGCCGAGGCAGAAGGATTACCTGAGCCCAGGAGTTCGAGGCTGTGATGTCCGTGATTGTGCCACTGTGCTCTAACCTGAGTGACAGAGTGAGACTATGACACACACACAAAAAGATTTGCTGGGCGTGGTAGCTCATACCTATATATATAATTCTAGCACTTTGGCGGCAGAGATGAGAGGACTGCCTGAGCCCACGGGTTTGAGACCAGCCTGGGCAACATGGCGAGACCTCATCTCTACCAAAAAAAAAAATATATATATATATATTAGCTGGGCGTGGTGGCACGCACCTGTGGTTCCAGCTACTGGGAAGGCAGAAGCAGAAAGATCACCCGAGCCCAGTAGGCTGAGGCTGCGGTGGCCGTGAGCATGCCACTGCATCCAGCCTGGGTGACAAAGTGAGATTCCAACTCAAAAAAAAAAAAAAGAATTAACAACTGTTAACATTTTAATGCATTAAACTAACATATAATTTCCCCTCCTTATATATGCTTTAAAAATTGTAAACAAGTTACATAAGCATACATTCTACCATTTAAAAAAAAAAGGAAAAAAAATACTAGCTGCATCTGTACTGTTTCCTTTGACAGTCACAGGTCCTACCATGCACTTCATTTCCCTGAAGTAGCCATCTTCATGTTTGTAGTGTATCCTCCCAGACCATCTATATACTTGCATCCACAAATAAAATAAAGAATTATTTCACGTTTGATTTAAAAACATTTATATAAATTATATATTACATGAGACATTCTGCAACTTGCTTTTTTTAACTTGTTTTTGAGTTCTAATGCTATGCTGGGGATCTAGTTAATTCCTTTGAACTGTTTTGTAGTAGTTTATCATGTGAGTGTTTCATTTTTACTTATGCATTTCCCTACTGATTGATATTTGGTTTGTTTCAAATTCTTCATTACTTGAAACTACATAGGGCCAAACATCCTTTTATATTGGTTCTTACAAACAAAGGGTAAGATTTCTCTAGAGTATATGATATGTATATTTTCAATTTTACTAAAGGTTGCCAAATTGCTTTCCAAAGTGACTACACCAACCAGCATTTCTATTAGTAACATACTACCTTTCTTATTTCCCCAAGTCTTTGTAAACACATTGAAAGGATAGAGCCCAAAAAGGAGTTTCTCTGGCCTTCTTGAGCTCATACATGACAATAATCCTTTCTGGGAAGACTGGTTGAGTCACAGGACTTTGAGATTATCATAATACTATAAGAAAGGGATTGGCAGTAGCAGGATACTGCCAGGGGTGGGGGGTGAGCAGCTACATTGCATCAATAAGGATACCTGATCTCAAACCAGGTGAAGTGGGCCCAAACTTTACCTGTATAATGTACCTTATGTACATTATATACCTAATCCTGAATTGTACCCCACATTTTTAGGATTAAAACAAAATCTTCTAAGAATTTGTCTTTCTGTTACTGGCCCTGACCTTCTCATCTCTGTAACTGACTTACCCATCCTTCTGGTCGTCAGAGATAAACTGGAAACAGACCCTATAACCATGAGTTTCACTGAATGCTTGCCTGCCCCACCTATCCCCAAAGAAGTATTTAAAGAAGCCCCTAGTCTCAAGCTCTGGCTATGATGCTTTCTTTAAGCTCTGGCCTCCTCTTCAGTCTTAGAGAGGTGGATCCACCTTCTGTCTCTACTTTCTAAATAAACTTTTCTTTTTAATCTAATTTTTGTGCAATTCTTTACATACCCATGACACCGCACACTGAACTACCACATGATATTTTCAAACTTTTAAATGTTTGCTGCTCTTATGGGTAAAAAATAGCCATCTCATTGTTAGTTTAATACTCAAAAACTGCTTTCAACTTCTTTAAGGAAAGGCTATTTTAGTCTTACATGGTTTAAGCAACAAACCACCTTATAAGTATAATCTTATTATACTTATAAGATTAGATTAACTTTGAAAACTTGCAAATTTCCTTCTACCTTCTATTTTATTTTTATTTTTTTAGAGACAAGGTCTTGCTATGTTGTCCAGGTTGGCCTCAAACACCTCGGCTCAAGTGACCCTTCCACCTCAGCCTCTTCCTGAGTATATGGGACTACAGGCAACTGCCGCTGTGCCTAGCACTTCTATCTTCTTTTAAAAGCAGGAATTATTAGATCTAAGAAGCATACTGTTAATCAAGATAAGAGATGACTTCAAGTTTCCTAAAACTTACTTGATATCAGCACCTGCAACAAAGCAGCCTGGCTTGGATGAGATAAGGACGGCACTTCTGATTTGATCACTAGCCCAGATTTCATTCATTACTTCTACGAACTCCAAATGTAGCTCTTTAGTCAGTGTATTTACCTGCCAGAGGAAAATAAATTTGAAGTATCAGATGTACATATCACCATCAAATGCTACTTTGATTATGGAAAATATGTTTATTCAGCAGAAATATACTCTTAGAGGCAAGAAGGCGAGTAAGAAACACTCCCCTCTTCCAACCCAGTAGCTTTCTATTTAGGCAGCTTTGGTAAACTATAAGCACTCTTCTCTTTAAAAATAGGTCTACCCAAAGGAAAAACTCAGGGTCACATTCCCAGGAGTTTGAATCATATGCAGGCTATGACTAGGGGCTATAAAAATTTGTTGGCATGGAAAAAATTTGTATAACATTAAGAAAAAATAAAATAAAAAGAGGACATTTAACATGATGCTAGTGTTGTAAATATTATTTACTGAAAATGAGTAAAATGTGGTTATCCCTTGGAAGATACCAAGAAAAAAAATGTGGTTATCTTTTGGTTTGAGTTATGAATTATTATTTTCTTCTTCTTTTTTTTTGTTTGTTTGACACAGGGTCTTGCGCTGTCACCCGTGCTGGAGTACAGTGGCACAATCATAGCTCACTGCAGTTTTGACCTCCTGGGCTCAAAGAATCCTCTTCTGTCAGCCTCCTAAGCAGCTGGGACTACACATATGTGCCAACAGTTCCTGGCTAATTAAAAAACAACATAGAGATGAGGTTTTGCTATGTTACCCAGGTTAATCTTGAATCCCTGGCATCAGGCAATCCTCCTGCCTTTGCTTCCCAAAGTGCTAGGATTATAAGTGTGAGCCTCTCTGCCTATTACTTTCGTCTATATAATTCTTTGTAGTTTTAAGTTTCCCTACTATTAGCATGTGCTGTTTTTGTGTTCAGGAAAAAGGTTCAACAACAGAAAATTTTCAGAAAAATACCTTAAAAGCTTGAATCATTGGTTAGTGGGTACTAAGGTTTAGTCTTAAGTAGGGGAATGGCTCTTATTTTCCTTAATTTGTGATAGCGTCAATTGCTTCCTCCTATTACATTTAGGCCTCTGGCTACAATATTTTTAAGGTAAGAAACCTTTACTCCAATTTTAGATGGGGGGAAAACATGGGCTCCTGCAATAAAGCACTTTTTTTGTTTGTTTTTTGAGTAGGAGTCTCACTTTGTCACCTAGGCTGAAGGGCAGTGGCACGCTCCCAGTCACCACAGCCTTGACCTGCTGGGCTCAGGCAATCCTTCCGCCTCAGCCTTCCAAGTAGTTGGAGCTACAGGCACATGCCACCATGCCTGGCTAATTTTTTGATTTATTGTAGAGATGGGGTCTCACCAAGTGCCCAGGCTGGTCTTGAACCTGTGGACTCAGGCAATCTCTCACCTCAGTCTCCCAAAGTGCTGGGATTATAGGCGTGAGCCACCATGCTTGGCCTAAAGCTCTTCTTGACACCCAGGTATGGTGGCTCACACCTGTAATCCCAGCACTTTGGGAGGCAGAGGCGAGAGGATTGTCTGAGCCCAGGAGTTCAAGACTGGCCTGGGCAACATGGTGAGATCTCATCTCTACAATAAATCAAAAATGAGCTGGGTGTGATTACGCATGCTGGTGGTTCCAGCTACTTGGAAGGTTGAGGTGGAAGGATTGCCTGCACCCAGTAGGTCGAGGTTGTGTGGGCGTGCCACTGCACTCCTGCCTGGGCGACAAAGTGAGACTCCGACTCAAAAAAACAAAAAAGCTCTTTTTGGCAAAAGGCTGGATTAAATGTTATATGCTTTGTTGAAGGTGCCACAAACAAATGAAGTTTCACTTTGAACAGAACTTGATTTCCAATACATGAACTGCACTGAGTCATTCAGACCCCTCAGGAAACTTAAGAGTCAAGTGTCCACACTTAACTCAGTCAACTTACTGTGAATAATGACTTGTATCAGGCAGGTAATGAAGGAAGAAGATTTAAGAGCCTCATATTTAGACAGGTAAGCAAGTTTTGATTCTTAATAAACAAGGCTTGTACTCTGGTTGTTATCTAATAAGTTATTCCTCACTCTACACAGTAACGGAAGGCTAGTCTTATTAATCTGTCATGTTGATCTGGCTCCTAAGGTCAACAAGACGAATTCTTATGTTAGAGCCTCTGCTTCAGCCAGGTGCAGTGGCTCAGGCCTGTAATCCCACCACTTTGGAAGACTGAGGTGGAAGGACTGCCTGACCCAGGAGGTTGAGGCTGCAGTGAACCATGATCGTGCCACTGCACTCCAGCCTAGGTGACAGAGTAAGATACCAACTCAAAAACAAACAACGAAAAACCCTATGCTTCTGCCCCAGAGAACTGCCTTCCTTGGGCAATTTATCAAATTTTAACTAGTTTAACTATTAAAACAGTAAATTTGTATTACATTCAGATTCTGCCAGATTAGTGGATTTCTTTCTTTCTTATTCAAGACTGGATTAATAAATGTAATTAGTAGAAATAAACTGCAGCAAATTAAATTAGATACCTTTGAATTGGGTGAGTTAATTCGAACAACTGCCACATCTCCTTTGACTCCATAGTTAATATGACTTCTAGCTAAAAAGAGAGAAAAACTTTATTTGTAAGCATGTTTATTGTAACATAAGTCTAAAAAGCAATGTAAGCATATTAACAAAAAATTAAACTTACCCAGTAAAGCAGAAGACCCTGTAAAACTGCGGCAAATATAGCCTGTAAGAAAAGACATTTCTAAATTAATTTGCAGAACAGAACTTTTGTAGTATTTGTTATATATAACAAAGTTATAATTTACAACAATAACAAAACCCAAATCAGAACGATGTATTCTAAACCATTATTGTGACTACTGCCATTTTTTTTCCCATTTCAATTATCAGTCATATGATTATTTGGATACTAATGAGGTTGGTAGAAGACTGGACCCTCAAAAATATCTACATACCCAGAACCTGTGAACATGGCAAAAGGGATATTATGGTTGCTAATCAGTTGATCTTAATATAGGGAGATTATTATGGAGTATACAGATGGGTCCAGTATAATCACAAAGGGGAAGAAGGAGGCAAAGAGAACCAGAGAGATGATGGTGGGTGTGATAATGACTTGGCCCTGTGCTGCTGCCTCTGAAGAAGGAAGAGATGGATAACAAGTCAAGGGATAAAGCAATCTCTACAAGCTGGAAAAGTCAAGATAACAGATCTTCCCCTAAAGCATCCAGAATGAACACAGCCCTATCAACACCGGTGATTTTAGCCTGATGAGACCCATTTCAGATTTCTGACCTTTATAACTATTTACATTTTTATTCAGACACTAAATTTGCAGTAATTTGTTACATCAGCAATAGGAAACCAACACACTAACCAATAAGTAACTTACAAAGCAACCCATAATGTCAGTTCCACATGTATTCCAAATATATCTCAACTGTTTTCCAGTCATGTCCTCGCATTTTTTCTGGAGTGATGAACTTTTTTCCCCCAGTGGTATCAAAAGTAAAATCAAGGGGCAAAAGTGGCTACCATAGATGAAACATTTCATGTTACATTTTGCTATTTTAAGCGTTTCTAACAGAAAAAGTCTATATTGAATTCCACCAAGAATACTCCTACTTTATGGATAACAAAGACTACATATACTCCTCCCTCTTTCCTAATCACTTCACTAGTTAGGCTCTCCAGCACAATGATGATGATAATGGCAATGATATGATCTTTTGAGTACAGGCCACCACAGAGAAGTCCCAGTGGAAGGTCTTTTGATCTGGACTCTAGATAGAGGTAAGGAACATTGGGGAATTCCAGGCAAATATTCCAAGTCTGTTTTGGAATTAATCTACCTCTTTTCTACCATTAAAGGCTTACCTCTGCCCTGCTCTCATCCAAACATCTTGCTCTAGGTGGTAACCAAGCTGTTCTGGAGGCAGCCCAGGGTCAACATCCCTTCATTACAATTCTAGTCTTCTTCAAAACACCCTTTTTCTTCCCTTGTCTTTCAGTCTTGGCTCATCTTAAACCATTTGTCCTATGAACCTCTTTAACTCCTTACTCCTTCTCCCTGACTGTACCTTCCAGCACTTGCCCAGTTGTCTTAGGAAAAAATTTTTCTCTAGCTTTGGTTCTAAAATTAAAGGCAAATCACCCCTTAATTGATTTGTAGCAGTACACATGAAACATCTATACTCAGGAAAAGACATATGTCTTCAAGTATTATCAAATAAGAATGAGTGCTTTAACAATATCTGTGATTTCTTCATGCATCTCCTCTAATTATACTAGCTTTTCCCAAATATTAATTATTACTAACGTTGAAACTTTTTTATTTTTACTTTTCATTGAAATATACAGCATTTGGACTACATTAGGAGGTGTATGATTTTGGAATCCATAAACAAAATTTAGGAGACTAGGGAGTACCCGCCTGACTTGGCGGTGCTTTAAAAAGTTAAAATCCCCAGCAACCTCTCAGTGGCTACACCTTTCTACCAGCCTGTGACCACTTGTGTTTCTCTGTGCCTACCTACTCTCCCATTCTCCATATCCTCTTCCTTCATGTGGTTCAGAATTTGGGAGATGTCAAACGAGAGTCTAAGATTTTGCCCTAGCTTACCATGATAATTCAGGGCAATGGACAATAAAACCATTTTGGTCACTTTCTATCATAGCAGATATTCTAAATGCAATTTTAAATAACAAATCTACCAAAAACACTTTCTACATGACTTAGAAATAAACTTTAGAACCATACCACTTCCAAGTTGCAGATGGCCTGTATTTGACAAAAAGGTAGGGACCCTTCAGGAGCTGGGAACAATTACTTACAGCCAAAGTAGAACTTAAGAGACTATCCAATACATTCAACAAAACTGGGATTTCCATAGCAGTACTGAGATGTGATTCTAGAACTATGTTGGGCATAAGAACCAACTGCGGAGGTCCAAATATACTCACAAATTCCTGGGCTCCAACCTAGGACCACAGAATCTATTTTAGAGGATTAGGCCTCAGAATCTGAACTTTGAAAAAGGTGACTCTACAGCAAACAAATGGCTATGTGGGAACCACTGCTTTGGAGAACCCAGTGATGGTGAAGCGGACTGTGGTGAGGGACGGGACCATGAACAGTTAGCCAAGACTCTTGCTTCTGCCATCTTTCTCTGTATCCCACAGTTTAAGGCACAAAAGATAGCAGCTTTATACTGGTCTGAAAGGCAAGGCAATATATTATTTAAAAAGGGAAAGAAGCCAGGCTCGGTGGCTCAGCCTGTAATCCCGCGCCTTTGGAAGGCTGAGGTGAGTGGACTGCCTGATCCCGCGGGTTCGAGACCTGCCTGGGCAACTTGGCGAGACCTCATCTCCACAATAAATAAAAAAATCAGCCGGACATGGTAGCGCATGCCCGTAATTCTGGTTACTTGGAAGGCTGAGGCAGAAGGATTGCCGGAGCCCAGCAGGTCGAGGCTGCAGCGGCCGGAGCGGCCACTGCACTCCAGTCTGGGCGACAGAGTAAGACTCCAACTCAAAAAAAATAAATAAAAAGGGAAAGAAAACTGCATGGATGGCACCAGAGCACAGTGGGGTGATCTTAGGTTCTGTCTGTCTTTCTTCTTCAAGCAATCTAAGCCACCCTTCTTAGTGTGAAGGCAAAGGTCATGGATTCAACCATAAGGTTTATTTACTTGCTGTGCGACCATGAACAAGTTTCTTAGTGAATTCCAGTATTTTTTTAAAGACAGAAAAAGGTAGTCATCTCCTCAATCCTCAGTGCCTCTACTTCACTGATATTTCTTTTTTGCTTTTCCTTCCTTTGAAATCTATATCATCTGTATTGACCACCCTTTCTTCTTTATATTTGCATCATGACTCCAACCTTTTCCACAAATTCTTATCTTCAGATTCCATCTACAATGTTCTTTCTCTTCTGTGCTGCATTTTTATCTTTATTATTTACTGCTTTGTTCTCTAATTGCTGCATCCTATAGCAGGTGTTTCCTCAACCACACTGTAATCTCTTCTAACGTCATCTCCCAGTCATTCATTCAACAACAACAGAAAACATATTGTGACCTACTATATGCCATGCACTGTTCTAGACAGGTGAAGTACAGCTAGGTACTTGGGGTGAACAAAAAAGACAAAAGACCTTGTCTTGGTGGAGCTTAAATTCCAGGGTAGTAGGGGATATGATATGTGGGAAGAATCAGCTTCTACTCTATGAGATAAACGAAAATAGACCTGACATAAAAAAAAGGAGTTTGCCTGTAAAGTAGAAATTCCCATGGGAAGGGAGGCAGGGGACAGGTAATTCTAACTAGAACAGAGTAAAGTGGATTAGAGTGGGAACAGACTGACTGGAATGCAGGTTGAGAGAGATGAGGTGGAAAGACATACAAAAACCAAGAAACATAAATATGTAAAGAAATATGCTAGAAGCATCTAAGCAAAAAAAAAAAAAAAAAAAAAAAAAAGAAGAAGAAGAAGAAGAAGAAAGAAAGAGAAAATAGAGTAAGCATGGGTTCATTTGCTGCAACGCTATTTTATTTTTATTTTTTGAGATGGGGGGGGTCTCACTTTTTTGCCCAGTCTGGTCTTGATCCCCTGGGCTCAAACCTTCCTCTAAGTCACTGGGATTATAGGTATGTGCCATGCTGGGCTGCAATTTTAAAGATCAAATATTTGAAACAACAGGTTGGTACTCATTAGCCTCTTACCCACTAAATCTACCCATGCATACACAAAACAATCTACAAAAAAAACAAAAACAAAAAAATCTACACACTCCAACATAAAACCTTTTCAAAATCAACTGAGATAAAAAACAAAGAAAATCAGTAACTACACAGACACACTTAGGAAAGAATTCCCAACCACATGAACTAATCAAGTCAGAGTATGATGTAGCTATGTTTCTGGAATTTAGCCATATCCACTACCTACCAGCAAAGATTACTCTACAGCAGCTGCGTGAACTTTAGCCTACATCTTTGGTGCCAGCAAGAGAGAAACCTTTGACCAACTTTTTAATCATCTTTGTAATGTAACTTAAAAAAAATACTGATAAGACTTCATAAGTCTATGGTTAGTGGAGACAGTTGAACAAATTTCAAGTTTGAAAATGTTATTTTGGCTGTAACAATCAACAACTTTTCCCAAAACTCAACCCTGCAAACAGGGATGACATTAAGGAAGAGAGTAAAATTTGAAAATGCACCATCTCCTAAGGTATTTGTCTCTAATTCACCATCTCCTACGAAATTATTTTACCACTTACATAATTAGGAATTTAGATTTAGTGTAGAAGTGGAAATTGGACAAGATACTTTGGTCAGGAAGTGATTTTCATTTGACATCATTTTCAAGAATTATGGACTTACAGATCAGGAATGCTTTAAAACTTCAAGAATTACAAGTCAGTTTCAAGGTAACTTTATCATCAACCAGCATATGTCATAATCTCATTAAATGTTTGTCAAAGCCTTGGCACAGTAATAAAGGTGTGCAGGTAATTTAAAATTCATTTTCTAGACGTTTTACTAAAATTTATAAATTGTTATTAAAGGGGGAAGTAGATAGAATGAGCCCAGATTTTTTGAAAATACAGAGCAAAATATTCTGTGTGTGTATATATATTTCTAGATAGAAACCAGAAAAATTAAGCTGATAGCTTCTTATTTCACATGTAAATGTAAAAATTATTTTAAAACATTTTTCAGATATATAGAATCATTGTTCTTCTGGGCTGGAAAAGAGTTAATAACAGCTAACATTTACTGAGAATTTACTCCATGAAAAAATGCTTTGTATCTAAAATAACTCCTTTACACTTTACAAGGTGGTATTATTGACCATTTTACAAATGAGAAAATAGAAATTAATTGCCCAAGGTCACTAGAGGGTAAAACGCAGAGTCAGGTTCAAACAGAAGTCAGCTCCAAACTTAATGCTTTTAATTGCTCTGTCATGCTACTTCTCATGCCAAAGTAAATCCATAGTCTCAATCATTCATGTTACCGACGGGGAAAATAAAACCCATTTAGATTCAGGCATTTGTCCAAAGTCACCCAGCTTGGTGGTGACTAGAAACCACGTGCCCTGCGTACCACTTGAGAGTTATACCATCTGCCAATCTGTAAGAAATACCTTAAAACTAACACAGGAGCAAGTTCAAAAATACACATCTCACTTTTCAAAAGTGTTAAACTATAAGTGTGGAAAACAGGAAAAAACTGTAAGGAAACACAACTGAAGGCTAAGAGTAGGCATATAAGTAGTAAGACAGTGGGTGATTCATTCGTTATTCTTAATTTTCTTCCTCAGTCTTTATAATTTTTTGGTTTTTTTTTTTTTGAGTTGGAGTCTCACTTTGTCACCCGGGCTGGAGTGCAGTGGTAATCTCATAGCCACGGCACCCTCGACCTGCTTGGGATCAGGTGATCCTTCTGCCTCAGCTTTCCAAGTAGCTGAAACTACAGGCGAGCACCACCATGCCCAGCGAATTTTTTGATTTATTGTAGAGAGGAAGTCTCCCCAAATTGCCCAGGCTGGTCTCGAACCCCTGAGCTCAGGCAATCCTCTCTCCTCCGCCTTCCAAAGTGCTGGGATTATAGTCATGAGCCACTGTGCCTGGCCACAGTATTTCAGTATTCTGCAATGTGGCTATATTATAACTGGTACACATACAATACTCCGGTGGAGACCAAAAACAGTGATTGAAAAGAGAAAGCAGAAAAAGATTCAATCATTCAATTAATCCCCTTACAGTAAAGGGAGGCTCCAGCTACCTGTCTAAAAAAAGCATACAACTCCAGTGGTTCCGGAGGAGGAAACAGTTCACATTACAAATTAAATTAAAAGTTAAAAACTTATAACTAACTGGTATTAAGTACAACATGCCATAAATAGTCACATTTGACCTTACATATTTGGAAGGAAGGAAAATGCTAGGTTTTCTACAATCACCCACTTTTACTACCCTTTCACTGCTAGTTTGCTGAGAAAAAAAATAGCATACACAGGTTGATCGGGAATTGTCAGAAACAAGATTAGAAATGGTTCTTATCGCGATCCAACATTTCATTCCTTAAGATACAGGTGATTGTGTATTTTAAAAGTGTGTCTTCCAGTAAGTTGCAGAACCCCCGTCGAAATTCCAAATACTATACGTTCACAAATGGATTACTGAAACTGCAAGAATTGAGCTCCCTACTGAAACGTGGTAATAAGCACAAAAATGGTTTTGAGGAAACCGAGCAGGGAGGGACAGGGATCCGCAAGGTCGGTTAATTCCACCCAAGAAGCTTTTAAGAAAACTCTCGACGCGAACAAGGTGCCATGGAGCCACAGAGATGAGAGAGAACGGGTCCTGGGACCCCAGGAAGTCCCATCTAGTAGAGACAGGACCACGGCCCTTATTAAAGAAAACAGGAGGGGCGTGAGCCTCGAAGTAGCACGCTGGAGACCGGCGGAAAGGCGCCAGAGTGGAAAGGACCCAGAAACGTTAGGGGTTACGGAGTCTGATATCGCCACAGGGCTCTGAGTCGTGACCGAGAAAGTGACAGTCACTTCGCAAGGACACAGGAAGCGGGGTCCCGGGGCAGTATTTCCCTCACAGGGATGGATCCCGGGCGGGGATGAGCAGGCGACAGGGAGCGCGTTACGCGGCTCTGGGACCGTCCCAGTTCCCGCAGGACTTCTGTCCGGCGTTCCGGGGTGCTCTCGGGGGCCAGGCCTCACCTCGGGAGCGGAGGATCCTGAGGACAGGGAAGCGGCTGAGGCTGCCAATTGCCCGAGAGGCCACCATGTTGAGCCGAAGAGGACGAAAGTGGAGAGCGCTTCTATTCGGGGCGACCGAGCGGAGGACTTTTCTTCCCGAGGCCAGACCAGTTAGGCGCCCGACGTACTGCCTGACTAAAAACCTGTGCGCCGAGCGACCCCCGGCCCCTGAGCCCTGTCCTTCGCTTCCGCTAACAGGCTTCGAAAGGACGCTTTCTCCGCCGAAGAACGGAGGCCCATCGAAGAGGGGCCACAGTGCCGCGTTTTCCAGTCAGGCGGCCAAGGGCAGCCTCCGGAGTCCGCGAGGCCCGCCCGCGGGAATGAGAGGGTCCTTCCTAGGCCCCGCCCCTTGGTCCTGCCTAGTACTGCTACTGGGTTCCGAACCTCGCCGTGAGCGGGTGCCCGCGGGGACGCAAGCTAAGGTGAGACGGCGTGTGTTGGGCTTTCCGAAAGTATGGCCTTGACCGGCGGGCGAGGTCCCACTTTCTTTCCGAGCAACTGAACCAGTGGCCGCGGCCGCCTCTCCTCCCCGAGGGAGTCGAAGTCCTGAGAGCAGAGGAAATTTCCTCGGTCGTGGCGACCGTACCAACTGCAGCTAGGGCAGGGACTTGCACTAGCGTTACAGCTGTAGTTTGGGGCACTGGTGTCACCTGTTTCCTAATTTATCACCGCAAGTTAGTGAACTGTTTGCGTGTGTGTGTGTGTTTTGAAATGTGTGTTGTTTCACAGGCTTTGCCTGTAGCCAGGTTAGCGGCTGTAGAGCTTCGAACTACGTCACAGGTTTACCCCGATTTCTGTTGTAAAGGGTGGGACTCGGTCAGGTGACCTTTCGGGACTCGACAGTGGAAGGAAGGAGCTGAGACAATCCCCCATCCCTCTCGGTAATCCAGAGCTTTGGGGTATTTTCTAATCCAGAAGGGACCTGGCGGTCATCTGATCATACATTCTCATCACTTGATTGGTAAAGAAACTGAAACCCATGAATCAGAGTGGAGAGTGTTTACCCATGGGCACAGGTGGTAGAAATAGGACTAGAGCTTAAGTCTACTAACTTCCAATCAAGGACTCTGCATCGCAAGATAGCTGTTTTTATGCTGGAAAGATGGAATGGGGTCCTGGAATAAAGTGGTTTCAAAAGGAAGTTACATTGAGGGCCTACTGTGCTCTGGACACCTTCACACCTTTTCGTGTCATCCTCATGATCTCCAAATTGTTATGGTTTACATTTCTAGACGAAGTTGGGAAGCTCAGAGAGATTATGTAAATTTTCTGGCCTTTGGCAGAGTCGCCAGGATTCAGACAAAAGTCTGAGTCTCAGCTGGGTAACGAGGCTCAAGCCTGTAATCACAGCTCTGAGAGAACAAGGCGAGAGGATTGCCCGAGTCCACAGACCAGCGTGGGCAACTCGGCGAGACCTCCACTCTACAATAAATTTTTAAAAATTAGGTGGACGTGGTCGCGCGCCCCTGCAGTTCCAGCTACTTGGATGGCTGAGGCGAAAGGATCGCCTGAGCCCAGCAGGTCGAGGCTGCGGTGGCCGTGAGTGTGCCACTGCACTCCAGCTTGGGCGACAGAGTGAGACTCCGACTCAAAAAAAAAAAAAAGAAGTCTGAATCTCATTGCTCGCCTGATTGACTGTTCTGCAAGAGAAAAAACAAGAAGGGACAGAGGAGCGGAGACAGAAATGAGTTTAGAAAGAAAGGGTGGGCTTCTGTTTAAAGTTCAAGGCAAATGAGTTCTCATCACTGAGAGCACTTTAAGCAGAAACTGGATGACACTTCTGAATAGATTGCTAAAAGGAGCCGGATGCTGTGGCTCATGCCTGTAATCTCAGCATTTTGGGAGGCGGAGGTGAGAGAATTGCCTGCGCCCAGGGGCTACAGACCAGATTGGGCAACTTGGGGAGACCTCTACTCTACAATAAATTTTTTAAAATTAGCAAGGCGTGGAGGAGCACATCAGTGGTTCCAGCTGCTTGGAGGGCTGAGGTGGAAGGTTCATTTAAGCCCCAGCAGGTGGAGGCTGCTGTAGCTGTGAGCCTGCTGCTGCACTCCAGTCTGGGTTACAGAGTGAGATTCCAACTAAAAAAAAAATGCCGAAGGGATTCTTGATGACCTCATAAAATTTTTACAGTTCAAAACTTGCCTCCTGCCCACGTAATGCTCTCTTCTGTGCCTAACTACTTGGAGTACTTATTATTTAGGTCAGACGTGGCAAATTTTTTTTCTGTAAAGGGCCAGACAGTAAGTAGTTTAGGCTTTGCAGGCCCACTTTAGCCTTTGTTATATGTTCTTTTTTTTTGTATTTACAAGTTCTTAAAAATATAAAAACTATTCTTAGCTAGAGGCCCATGGGTTGTAGTTTGCCAACCCCTGATTTAGACCACTCATTTGGCTCCTTTTTTCCCCCCTGCACTTTTAACAAATTGTAAGCTCCACCAGGGCAGAAATGTTATGTTTCTTTGCTTTTCAGCATTTTAGTACAATAGTTTATATAGAAAGGAGCTATGTACATTTATGTCACCACCCACTAGTAATAATAGCAAACACATGTATAGCCCTTACTATGTCTCAGGCACTAAGTGTCACATGTGTTTATGTGTATGTATATATGCATCTGTATGTATGTAAAATCCTCACAACAACTCTCTAAGGTAGGTCCTGGAATTATCTACATTTTACAGATGTGGGCCCTAAAACAGAAGAGGTTAAGTAACTTGCTTAAGGTCATACAGCTAGGATAGAGCTAGGATTTGGACTTAGTCTGGCTTTAGAGTCTGTTCTCTTAACCACTACATTGTATCTTGAGTAATCACTAGCTGTCAGAGCTATCCCATTTTGCTTTCTTTGCTTGCCTAACCCTTTCTTGCTTTCCCTTGCTCCCAGGTGCCTGCAGCTTCATATATATTTCCATATTTCCACACCCTACTCCAGCCTACCTTACCCTACCCTGGAGTTTCCATGCTTTGTTCTGAAGCTTGCTTTTTCACTTAATATAGATTATGAACATTGTTCCATGTCAGTTTGCACACTGACATGGAACAGTTTCTTTCCAAACTGCCAAATGGTAGTCCATGGTATGTTTGTACTGTAATTTATTAAACATTTCTTATTGCTGTGCATTTAGATTTGTTTCAGTTTTCCATAAACATAAGCAATGCTATAGTGAATATCTTGAGTATTTCTACAGGCTGGAGACCTATGTATGCTACACAAACATTTTGAATATTTCTATAGGTTGGAGACCAATAAGAGGAATTATTGGACTCAAAAATTTACAATTTGAATTTTGATAGATAACTACAAAATTTCCATCCATACCTTAGCAATTTGTACTTCCATCTCTAGTATATGAAAGTGTCTATTTAGTTAGAATTAGATCCCTTCTTACCAGAATTGTATATTAACCATATTTTAAATTTTTACCAATGTGATAACCATAAAATGATCCCTTGCTTTAATTTTTAAGAAATTATGGTTATTGAGGTTGAACATTTTAAATTTTGTTGATTTGGTACTTTCTTCCTTGAATTACTCATTTTTTCATTTTTGCTTCTGGTCGTGTATCAGGAAGTAGCCTTTGAATTGCAAATAACAGAAAATTGAGATCAAATTGACTTATTAAAGGGGATTTTTTTTGGCTTACAGAACTGAAAAGGACAATGGGATGATGAGTTTCAAATAGGATTCAACCAGGGCTTTCATTTCTTTTTCTAAAATTCTCAGCTCTGCATTCTTCTGATGTGAGATCTAGCCTTAAGCTAGCTTTGTTGATGTTTTCAAATTGCTGTAGTCGTGCTTAGCCTCTGAAGGATGGATTTGTTTTCCAGAATTCTAGGCAGAAGACTTGAATGTTTGACTAAGCCATCCCTAAATCAATACCAGTGGTCAAGGCAATACCAGGCACAGTTGTTTTAGGTCTTTTTTTACCTGAATCAATGGTCCTGGCAGACAGTATGAGATTGTTCTGATTGGTTTTAAACTCTGGAGTTGGACTGGATTCAGTTCAATTTAAATCATATGGGGCAACTACATAATTTGTCCAAGATCTTTAGGCTTTTCTGTGTTACATATTACAAATGTTTACTCTGAATCTATTGTTTGCCTTTTAGCTTAATTTTGCTATCTTTTGCTGTGTATATATTTTAAATGTTTATATAATCAGACCTATTAGTTACTCTTTTCTGTTATGGTATCTGGTTTTGTGCCATATGTGGACTCTTGTCTCCATCTAAGTTGTACAAATATTCTTTGAGCCGGACTTGGTGGCTCAGCCTGTAATCCTGCGCCTTTGGGAGGCTGAGGTGAGTGGATTGCCTGAGCCTGCGGGTTCGAGACCCGCCTGGGCAGCAAGACCTCATCTCTGCAATAAATCAAAAAATCAGCCGGCCGTGGTAGCGCATGCCTGTAATTCCGGCTACTCGAAAGGCTGAGGCGGAAGGATCGCCAGAGCCCAGCAGGTCGAGGCTGTGGTGGCCGGAAGCGGCCACTGCACTCCAGTCTGGGCGACTGAGTGAGACTCCAACTCAAAAAAAAAAAAAAAAAAATATATATATATATATATATATATATATATATATATATATATATATATATTTAATCCTTCTGGCATTTATTTGTACTTATAGTATGACCTGTGTACATAAATTTTTTTCCAAATGTTTATTCATTTTTCCAGTTAATTTATTGAATAATTCATCTTTCTTTCAGTTAATTGAAATATTATATTTATTATGTACTAAATTGTCATATACACGGATATGCTTCTGAACTTGCTATATCCTCCTCTGTGGACCAGTGTCATTTATTCCTGTGCTGGAATTACTCTGTTTTATTGCTGGTGTGCTTTTTTAGAAAGTTTTGATATCTCTTAGAGCAAGGTCCCCTTTTTGTTTTTCAGCATTTTCTTGGCTATTTTTATGAATTTTATTTCAAAATGAACTTTACTTAAAAGACCTTGTATCCTAGGCCCTTGTGGCATTGTAAGTAGCTTCTGGAAATGGTAGTGCCATCTCTTGGGCTTCTTTCTGTTTCCAGTCACAGTCCTTTGAACATCCCCAGGCCAGTGAGCCTCAAGCTTGGACTCCTCCATCTCTTTCTAATCTACGTTTGGAACATGTAACTTTTTTTTCCATTTTGGAAGCTATGGGGCATCCTCCTTTTAGTTTATAAAGACCCAAGAAAAGTTAAACTTTAACGCTTTTGTATTGTCTATTACTGTGTAGCAAATTACCCCCAAATTCAGCTGTTTAAAATAATATCTATTTATCTCATACAGTTTTTGAGGGTTAGGAATCTGGGGCAATTTAGCTGGGTTGTTTCTCATGAGGTTGTAGTCAGAATGTTGGCCAGGGATGGAGTCATCTGAAAGCTTGCCTGTGGTGGAGGGTCTGCTTCCAAGCTTGCTCATGTGGCTGTTGGAAAGAGATGTCAGTTCCTTACCACATGAGCCTTAATAAGGCTGCTCTTGACATGCCAGCTGGCTTCCACCAGAGTGAGTGAGTTGAGAGAGAGAGACCAAGATAGAAGTTATAGTATCTTTTATGGCCTAATCTCAGAAGTTAGATGCCATCACTTCTGACGTAGTCTGTGGTTTGCACAGACCAGCTGTGGTACAAGGTGGAGGACAACTGTACAAGAGTGTGAATACCAAGCAGTGGAGATTGTTTGGGGCCGTCTTGGAGGCTCCCAAAGCCTTCACTGGCAATTCGTACAAGTTTGTTCTTTGTTTTTTTTAAGTTAAAATGTGTTTCAAAGTTAAGAAATTATAAGAGAAGTACAATGACAAGTTTTCCACCCTTGTCCCTTAGTCACTCAGTTCCCTTTCTTCTAGCCAGCAATTATGTTTAACACCTTTTTGATACTTCCAGGAGGCATTTCATACTGATACGAGGAAATGTACATAATATTTTTCCTCTTTTAACATGCATAATAGCATGCTGTACACACTATTTTGCATCTTGCTTTCTTCTCTTAATAATATAACTTAGATATGGCTACATATTGGTATATAATCATTTCCATATCTTTACAACTGCATAGTATTTCACTGGGTTATTGTAGCTTGGTTTACGTAACCATTTCTCTATTTGTTGGTTATTCTAATCTTTGACTACTACAGGGACAACATAGATTGTGTCCCTGTGTAAGTAATATCCATGAAACAAATTCATGGAAGTAGATTTGCTGGTCCAAAAGTTAGGTACAGTCGTAGTTTTGACAGATAATTACCAAATCACCTTCCATAGGGGTTGTACTAATTCACACTCTTGGCAGCAGTGTATGAGAGTGTATGAGAAGTAAGTGCATACTCTTGCCTACATAGTGTATAGCAAAACTTTGAGTCTTTCCTAATTTGACAGACAATTATATCTATGTGGTTTTAATTTAAATTCCTCTTATAAGTGAAATAGAACATCTTTATATATCAGAAAGCCATTTGTATTTCCTTTTCTGTGAACATTCTGTTCATATTGTGTGCCCATTTGTCTGCTGGTTTTTTTTCTTAGTGATTTGTGGTAACTCATTGTTAAGAATTTACCCTTTTTTGTGTGGAAAGGAGAGAACATGGCTAATATATTTTAAATAATTTTTAAAGCATAGAGTTTCTATGTCTTTTGATTTTTTATTATATTGAAATAATACAGTATCATACTTAGAAAAAAGTTGTAAGTGTTGTACTGCAAACTTGTTTTTTAGTTGCAGTTGTATGTTGCTGCCATGATGCTTCACCATCCCTAGATACGTTAGTGTCTATTCCTGTCAAATACAAACATTCCACAAAGCCTTCTACATAATCACAATACAACCTTCAAAATCATAAGATTAACACTGTGATTTCATGATCATGCCTAGCTGTCTCTACTTCTTTGGCCCAAGAAGGAGAGGAGCACAGACTATGGAGATAGACTGCCTGGGTTCAAATTCAAACTCTGCCACTCACTAGCTTATGGGTCTAAGTCACTCAATAAATCTCTTGCAAAGGGTATGATAATCATGCCTTCTTCATAAATCGTTGTGAGGATTATATGGTTAATGCTTTGAATGTTGGCACAATGTGAAAGCTATGTTGTTTAGCTGTTATAATAATATTATTGGAGAAAGGATAGTTGATAACTAGACTAATGGTGTAGTAGCCATAGGTGAGATTATCAGAGTTCTCAAGATATAAATTGTTGAACTAACCCAGGATATAATTTTGCTTTTCTTGTTTTTAGATTTCAGAATGACTACCATCTTGACTTACTCTTTTAAAAATCTTCCCAGTACATCAAAATGGGCCCTCAGATTTTGTAAGTTTAATTTTTTTCTTTTTAAATATTAGATATGAATTTATAAGCATCTTAAGCATTGGATGGTATTGCTTTTTGTAAACAATTTATTTTGTCTTTCAGCTTTAAGACCTCTGAGCTGTTCCTCCCAGCTAAGAGCTGCCCCAGGTATAGTAATTTGTAAAAATAAACATTTCTGATATAATTGTTAGATTCCAGGTCCTATATTTTGTGAATTCTGAATAAAAACCAAAACTAATTTGCCAATTCTCTTGCTTTTATGAGTAGCATGAACATCACTATTCTCTTCAAATTAAAAAATGTATAGGACCAATCATTAATGATATTACATTATTTTGGATTAGACTTGAGACTGTTGCCAGGAGGCTGCTTTCTGGGATTTGAACCTGGTGGAATCATGGAGTTTCCATAAACCTTGCTGGTCAGTTTATTCACCCTCTGGCTGTCAGTCCTACAAATCAGGGGTCCCCAACTCCTGGGCTGTGGAACCTGGCCCTCATAGGAGGAGGTGAGCAGCAGGTGAGCAGAGTTCCATCTGCTGTCAGGTCGGTGGGGGCATTAGATTCTTGTAGGAATGTGAACCATCTGCTGTCAGGTCTGTGGGGGCATTAGATTCTTGTAGGAATGTGAACCCTGCTGTGAACTGTGCATGCGAGGGATCCACGTTGTGTGTTTCTTATGAGAATCTAATACCTGATGATTCCCCCTCCCACCCATCCGTGGAAAAATTGTCTTCCATGAAACCAGTCCCTGATGCCAAAAGGCTAGAGACCACTGCTGCAGATCATTAGCATACATTCTTGAGACCAATTATGGAGCCAAAAGTTAACTTTTAAAATTTGCAGGCCTGGCGTGGTGGCTCACACCTATAGTCCCAGCACTTTGGGAGGCTGAGGTGAAAGAATTGCCTGAACCCATGGGTTTGAGACCAGCTGGGGCAACTTGGCAAGACTTCATCTCTACAATAAATCAAAAAATTAGCCGGACATGGTAGCACGTGCCTGTAGTTCCAGCTATTTGGAAGACTGAGGTAGAAGGATTGCCTAAGGTCAGCAGGTTGAAGCTGTGGTGACTGTGTCAACCTGGGCAACAGAGTGGGACTCTGACTCAAAAAAAAAAAATTTGCAATTAGTAATATGCTTCTCTATGATCAGTATCATCTTATCTCATATACAAGAGGACCCATTCCTGAAATAGAGGTGATCGGGTAACTAATTCATAAAAGAAGGCGGTTTAGTCAATGTGAAGTAAAAGAGTAAAGAAATTTGTTGGCTGGATGTGATGGCTCACTCCTGTAATCTAGCACTTTGGGAAGCGGAGGCGAGAGGATTGTCTGAGCCCATGGGTTTGAGACCAGCCTGGGCAACTTGGTGAAACCTTGTCTCTACAATAAATAAAAAAATTAGCCAGGCATGGTGGTGCATGCCTATAGTTTCAGCTACTTGGAAGGATGAGGTGGAAGGATCGCCTGAGCCTAGCGGGTTGAGGCTGTGGTGGCTGTGAGTGTGCCACTGCACTCCAGTCTGGGCTACAGAGTGAGATTCTAACTCAAAAAAAAAAAAAAAGAAGGAAAGAAATTTGTCAATTTTATGTGGTTACTTAGATCCTTGGTAAATCCAGTGAATGAGACTTCTTTACTGCAGATTTTTTCATAATCTGCTGTAGGTATGTATCTTCACGGGCCAGTGCTAAAAAATACCTTGACAAATTCTTAACATTTTTCTCCTTGCCTAGGTTTTGTGTTGACCTGTGCCTCTGATTTTGGTTTTATTATGGTATTTCTACTTGTGTATACCTTAATAGAAAAAACACCTACCCACCTGTACTCTCTTCCAACTTTACCTTTTTCTGGGCAGTGTGTCCTTAAACTGGTCACTTTGCATCCTTGCACTGTAGTTTCTTCATTTAAAAAAGAAATACGAGGGGGGACTCCAAAAACCCCTGGAATTTATTTATTAAAAATTGTGTATGTATTCTTACATGTTTAAACTTCAGTCACTTTCAAAGTACTCCTCATTTGATGCAATACTCCTATTGAGCCACTTTTTCCACTGCTCAAATCAGTTTTTGAACTCGTCAATTTGATGCCTTTTGGTGCTTTTGTTTTTTGTTTTACCTCTTTCACATTGGCAAAACGTTTCCCTTTGAGGACTTTTTCATTGGGAAAACAAAAAGAGTCACTTGGAGTTGAGATCAGATGAATAGGGAGGGTGGGATATGGGGATCATGATGGTTTTTGTTCAAAAATTGCTGAACACTCAGTGCAGTGTGGGCAGGTACACTTGTAAGTCACCCATCATGAAATGGGCAAACACATTGAAAGAATCTACAAAAGCATGAACTGAAGCGGAATGCAGCCTCTCACAACAACTCTAGCTGGTACACTGATGCTGATGGGCTTCTAGGACACTTACCTACTAGGCGAAGGCTGTACTATAAGGGACCCACCCTCCAAAAGATAATTCTGGGTTTTTTTGGGTCCCCTCTTGTGTAATAATTCTAGCCTTGTCAACCTCATATAGTTATGAAGATATCTCAGAAGACTTTGAAAACTATAAACTCAATGTAAGTGCAAGGTGATATTTTTATATTGTTTTACATATACTGCGTTCACAGAAGTCTGTTGCCATATCCCAGCTAGCGAAGTTTCGTGTTGTCATTTAACAAATACATTTCCTGTGGCCTTTAGATTCTAACTAGATTATAGATTTCTGAGTCCCATAAAGAATAATTCCTATCTGTTTTATTTCACCTTTTCCCTAATTCTAGTGTTCACCCAGGTCTTTGGTTTGCAAAGTCATACAGATAGACTTGATCTTTGCCAACTAGGAGAAGGTCATTCAATTACCAACAGAGGAAAATATTTATCTGGCATTTAGACTATTCTTTATGCTACTCTGCAACTGCTTTTGATGTGCTTTTACAACTATATTGTAAACCCTTGTGAGTCTTTAGTTTTTTTATATTCCCAGTGTCTGACACAATTTCCTACAAGTAACTTGTGTTAATTCTGATACTGATGAAAAGAACACATGACAAGACAAAGGAATGTGACCAGCTGACTTGAGGGGAGGGAGCAGGCATGTGCCTATGCTCAGGTTTTAGGTTGCTGTAATTTTATAACTAATTCCTCTTGAAGTTCAAGTGGATATCTCTGCCTGGCAGCTGTTGTAATAAAAGGATTAAATTAGAGGGGCACAGGATTTATTGATGTTTTCAGTCATCTGATGGACTGGAAATGTAAGTGTGTAATGGAAATTTTGACTGATTTGACAGTTACCTAAATATCAATATACATCTATCCCACTCTCTCTACATACATGCATGTATATGGCAGTTGTATAATACACGACATGTCTCATCTTTGATTTTAACTGTATTTAGAGAGTGTAGAATGTATATTAGCCATTGAATCCTTGATTGTGGAGTTGGGAGGAGCCTTTGGGAGGAAACTTTGAGATCATCCAGTCTAGCTTCTATATTTGCAAATAAGCAAATCTTGGCAGAGCAGGGCCTAGAACCCAGATATTTTAATTCTTAATTCTTAATTCAAATTCTTATAATTCATTGCTGCTGTGTGCCCATGACTCTGGAATATGTAAAATGGAGCTGTATTATTTGCCCTTGAGAAAGTTGTGATGTGCTTAGGAGCCAGTATGCACACGAAACAGAATGAGTCCTTGGGTAATTGTTTAATACATAATGACTATCATTTTTATAAGGTGACTTATAGAGTTAATTTGATTACTTTATAATATGCTAAATTATTTGGAATGGCCAATTTTTGCCCTAGAGGCTGCCGTAGAAGTTCAGCGACAGGAACTACAGGTAACTGTAGTTTTCAGAGAAGGCTTTACTAGGAAGTGGAATGTGAACTTGGCCCAAGAGATAGGCGAGAATTAGATGGACAAAAAGGGGACATGAGCAAAGGTAAGGAGGTTGATGTGAGCAAGGCCATAAGGGACTGGGGCTTGCTCATCATGTTGTAGTCTGAGGTGCAGTAGAAAATACTTTTGAACAGTTAAGGTCAAGCAGGCAGTTTGTTAGAAGATGTATAAAAGGAACATATGGTTAACTTTTTAAAAGCAGAATGAAATGATGGTGTGTTATCTGACTTTTCTTTTCATCACTTTCTCTCCAAGGTCAGTCATGAATAATCTGCAGATCTTCAAGTTTTGTGGCCTGTGTTCAGTCCTTATTCTCCTTGTGAGACATAAGGAGAATAAGGACCATTTTGTTCTTGACACTCTCCTGCTTTTGATCTCATACGTTGTTCTCTCTTCATTCCCCCTCTTCCTCTTAAGTTGCCATTAGTCTCACATCTGCTCTCTGCCTTCTCAGTGTAGGGAAATTTCAAAACTAAGTGTCTTTGATTGTGAATAAGTTAAGAATGGGAGGGTTTGTGTGTACCACAACTGGGAAAGTGCTAGAGCCACGCAACAGCTCTAGGGGCCAGCTGTGTCACCTCTGTCATACACCACATGGTGTATCCCTTTCCTGGCCTTTCAGCTTTTCTAGTATCTTTCTTCACCTTCTTGCTGGCTTCTTTGCTCATTTATGGTTTACAAATTCTGGCTTACAAATGACTTCAGTTTACTGTTACCCTGGTTCTTTCTGATGACATCTTTTCAACTTGAACTAATTGGCATTTCTTTCCATACTTCTATGCTTAGATAGAGAAATTGACCAGCAGAGTTTATTACTTATAGGTAGATGACATGGGTTTCTGGACCACTGCTGTATGGATGACTCATTGGCGGGTCCAGTACCTACTCTGAATCTAATCAGCTTTTGCTCTGGGCTTAGGAACATGCTATTTGTGGCGTCCCCTTCAGAGGGGACTGTGAGATGTCCAAAACAAAAATAAACAAATAAAACCCCTAAAGCTAACAAAAATTCATCTTTATTTTTAAAGGGGAAAAAAGAAATAGAGGGGGCTGTGGGAAAGCAGGTATTGCAAAATATGTCTCTGCTTTTCTTCTGTATTCTAAGCTTTAAATATCTTGTGACTGTGTGATCTACACCATGTCTCTTCAGAGCTTTTGTCTTGCATCTTCTATGTGCTGAATGGACATATCCACCTAGATGACCCTCTATCACCGCAAAGTTAGCAAGTTTAAAAATGAAGTCATTTTTTTCCAAAACCACTTCTCACTCTGTACAGAGTAGCTAGGTTCTTAGTCTCTACATTTCCTTTTCAATCCTGTTTTCCTCTTTCATTTCTTTCTATATCGATTGGTCACCAAGATGCCTCATCTTCCTTTATAAAATCTCTTGCATTGGTCCCTTCTTCTTCATTCACATTGATACATTCACATTTATCCTGGCCTTTTGCGCCACACGCTTGTATTTGCCACAGTCTCTTCACTTACTTCCTTGGTGCCTTTATCTCCTTCAGCACAACTTCGTTAGAGCTGCCAGGGTAATCTTTGTATTCTGTTTTATCATGACTCTTAGCTCTGACCACTGTTTCTTTCAAGTTGATTGTAGATATTTATTATAAATATTTTTCTGTGATGTTAATAGGTATGGTAAGGTAGTTGTTGAAATTTTATTCCCAACAATGTAGGGTTTTCTTTCTATCTCTGATAATGAAGGAGTGATGATAGTAGGTAAATTCCAACATCCATAACAGCAAGGAAAGAATGAGATGGATTTTGATATGCTAGTAAGGAAAGATCTTCCAGCTCTCTTGTTAAGTAAACACACACACACACACTGCACGTGTACATACTTTAAAAGAAAAAAGTTTGAAAGTATATACACCAAATTAGCAGTATTTACTTCTTGTTTTGTTGAGTCAGAGTCTCACTCTGTCGCCCAAGCTGGAGTGCAGTGGCACGCTCACTGCCACCACAGCCTCAACCTGTTGGGCTTAGGCGATCTTTCTGCTTCAGCCTCCTAGGTAAATGGCTCTATAGGTGTGTGCCACCATGCCTAGCTAATTTTTTGATTTATTATAGAGATGAGATCTCACCAAGTTGCCTAGGCTGGTCTTGAACCCCTGGGCTCAGGCAATCCTCTCGCCTCTGCCTCCCAAAGTGCTGGGGTTACAGAAAATATTTACTTCTGAGAAGAAAATAATATGGTTTAGCTGGGTGTGGTAGCATGCACCTGTAGTTCCAGCTACTTGGAAGGCTAGGCGGAAGGATTGCCTGGAGCCCAGCAGGTTGATGCTGGGGTGGCTGTGAGCATGCCACTGTACTCCAGCCTGGGTGATGGAGTGAGACTTCAACTCAAAAAAAGAAAAAAAAAGAAATAATATGGTAAGGGAGGGCATATAGAGGGAACTTTGGTTTTTGCTCTTCTTAATTTAGAATTATTTACTTTACTTTTTTTTTTAAACACTGACATTTATTTACATTTTAATCTTTAAAGGAAGTTTGCTCTTTTGAGATTAAAAAATATTTAGATAATCTGAGTTAAACAGAATCAGGAAGCATTGTAGGTTTTTACGGAATAGCAATAGTCATCAACCAAGGGGCCTTTATTTCCACATAGAAAGGCAAGAACATCAAGTTATGTGAAGAGTGAAAAATATCAATCATTGGAACTTCTAATATTAAGGGTAGACTTGTATATAAAATTGGTTACTTCTAATGAAATAGGTTGTCAAACAATTAATAAAAATGAACAGTTTTTTTAATGACATAAATACCCTCATCATTGAATATAAGATTTGTTTACCTTAAATATTACTTAGAAACTTAGAAATGCTAGCCAATTTCATAGGCTTATTTAAAATATATATATATATATATATATATATATATATATATATATATAGAAGTGGTTTAGTAAATGGCAAATGCAGGTTGGCATTGAGTGACGTAATTCTTAGAGTGCCTATCTTTAAAAATGTAAAAAATTGGCTGGGCACTGTGACTCATGCCTATAATCCCAGCCCTTTGGGAGACTGAGGCAAGAGGATTGCCTGAGCCCAGGGGTTCAAGACCAGACAGGGCAACTTGGTGAGACCTCATCCTCTACAATAAATCAAGAAAAATTAGCCGGGCATGGTGGCACATGCCTGTAGTTCTAGCTACTTGGAAGGCTGAGGTGGAAGAATTGCCTCAGCCCAACAGGTCAAGGCTACAGTGGCCACGAGCATGCTACTGCACTCCAGCCTCTGTGACAGAGTGAGACTCTGACTCCAAAAAAAAAAAAAAAAGTAAAAGATCATCTGACTTTACATATTTTAATTTGTAGTTTTTTTTTTAACTTTGTCTTAAAGCTGTCCAGACCAAATCAAAGAAGACCTTAGCCAAACCCAATATAAGGAATATTGTGGTGGTGGATGGTGTTCGCACTCCATTTTTGCTGTCAGGTACTTCGTAAGTATGAAACAATCATGTTATTTGTTCCTTCTTTTAAGGTACTTTAAAAAGTGATCTTTGTAAATGTAATCCAGTAAGTAATAATATTACTAGTGGACTAACATCTGGGTAACATTTTATGAAATTGATATAGAATAACCAAGCCAGTAGTAAAAATCATATGACAAAAAATTTCCTTTTAATCTTTCTCATGAACAAGCCTGGTGTGGTTTTAGCTTGAAATAACCCTATTTTGAAAACCTAATACAGGTCCAGATAGCTTGCTTCCAATAAAGGAAATGTCCTTTCCTTTTCTAGAGACAAGTACATTATCTCGGTACTTGTCTACTTGCCTCCTCGGAAGTTTGAGTGCTAATAATGTGGGTCCATGGGCATTCTGAAGGGCCTATAATCTACTGTTTTGGCGTCCAGGAAACGATTACAATCGGAGTTGACAGGGCTGGTCCATACCCCTGGCTTAGCACAACCCCAAGTCTGTGGGACCAGAATGATGCTAGACCAGCCTCCAAATTCCTCACAACCAGAATGCTCTTCTCTGTGTCCTTTCTGCTTCTTTTCTGTCTCCAATTCTGTCCAAAAGCTGATAATTTGATAATGGACTTTGATAACTAGGCTTAAACTGTTAGTTTTATTCTGTTTAAATTGTTTTAATGTTTTTATTTTGAATGGGTAGTCACTAACTTTAAAAAATGCTGAGGAATGTTAGATACCTGTTAAAAATAATGAGCCCTGGCCAGACTTGGTGGCTCAGTTTATAATTCCAGCATTTTGGGAGGCCAAGGCGAGTGGATTGCCTGAGCCCGTGGGTTCGAGACCAGCCCGGGCAACTTGGTGAGACCTCATCTCTACAACAAATCAAAAGTTAGCCAGACATGGTAGTGCATGCCTATAGTTCCGACTACTTGGAAGGCTGAGGTGGAAGGATCGACGAATCCAGCAAGTCGATGCTGAGGTGACTGTGAGTGTGCCACTGTACCCAGCCTGGGCAATGGAGTGAGACTCCAACTCAAAAAATAATAATAATGAGCCCTTTCTCTAGGTACTAATATGAAAGATGTAAGGTTTTGATGATATGTTAAGTGTAAAAAGCAAGGTGCAGAGCATTGTGTATAATATGCCATAATTTGTGAAGGATATACACCTTTGTGTGTGTGTGTGTGTGTGTGTATACACATACAAACAACAAATGCTCATTTTTAAACAGGTGGTTTAAGGCCTAGAAAATGTTTTTATAGAAGTAATGCTATAAGTAAGTGATAGTAAAGTTTCTTCATTCATCTTACTTTATCAACACAGTAATCTACTTAACAGTTTCTTTCCCTAATCTCTTTCCTATACTGACACAATAACAGCAGGAAGAAGGGGAGATGGGGATCCTCCTTGTACTTAGCAGCAATAAAGTTGAAAATGAAAGTTCCATCAAGAGACAAAAGTTTTTGGCTAGCAAGACCATTTTTTTTTGTAAGGGCTCTTTGTGTGTTATGTAAGTGTTTGATGCCAACTGTTTTATTAGTTGTTAAAAATTGCAAACATAACTCAATTTAATTTACTTTTGTTATTTAAATATTTTATTTGATAGTGTTGGCATGAAGTCTGATTTGAGGTTTTCAGCACATTAGTGTGGGGTCTGTTCCTTTCATTGTTGTGTATTATTGTGTTTTAGTTTAATTCAAGATCCTGATTGAGAAAGAAGATAAAGTTCAGGAGCAATTTTGTGGTATAGAGAAGAGAAAAACTTTCAGTAACATAAGAAATGAAAGTTAACAGGGAAGAAAGGATTAAAAGTTTTTTTTGAGGAAATACTCATGTAAAGAACAAACATGACTAAAAAATAACATAGAGGGACAATTTATAAGGACAACAGTTTAGTCATATTATTTCTTTATTTTCTTTTTTTTTTTTTGAGTCAGAGTCTCACTCTGTTGCCCAGGCTGGAGTGCAGTGGTATGCTCACGGCCACAACAGCCTCGACCTGCTGGGCTCAGGCAATCCTTCTGCCTCAGCCTTCCAGTTAGCTGGAACTATAGGCACGTGCCACTACACCCAGCAATTTTTTGATTTATTGTAGATATGAGATCTCACCAAGTTGCCTAGGCTAGTCTCAAACCCGTGGACTGAGGCAGTCTTCTCTCCTCCACCTTCCAAAGTGCTGGGATTATAGGCGTTAGCCACCGTGCCCGCCCTAGTCATGTTATTGATGTTAAGACTGAGGTGGCAAATCAGCCTTCTTTAATAGAAGATCATTACCTAGGTGGAAAAAGATCTTTTTCTGTTTAATTTGGAGAAAATTTTCTTTCAACTTGAGTGTTATTTGGAAGATTTCCTTCTTAGAGGTAGGGGCATTTGGGAAATATTCCAAAAATAGACTCTAGCAGTGGAATTCAGGAGTCTGTCAGTCACTCTGGTAGGAGTATGGAAACATGAGGGAATAAAGTTTGTAAATGATAAATAATTTATGGTTTAGGTATTTTCAAATTGACACAACTTTCCCCCTAATTATTCTGTTCTAAATTTGAGGAAACTTGCTTTACCTATGAAAACTTTGGAAAACTACTGTTGATTCAGAGTGAAAATACAATTTTTTTTGATTTTTAGATTTTAGTTTTCAGGAACTTGAAGAATGAATTTTCTTATTTAATCTAATGGTTAAATCTTTGACTTAAAAATAAAGGGACTTTGCTGGGTGTGGTGGTTCACACCTGTAATTCCAGCACTTTGGGAGGATTACTTGAGGCCAGGAATTTAGCCTGGGCAATAGTGAGACACCGCTTCTACAAAAAAAATAAAATAAAATAAAAGGAATTTATTTTTGGTATTTAAACAAATAAGTAAGTAGAGTTCATATCCAGATCTTGGTTTTTAAATAGCATTCTTCAATGAAAGGATCCAGGACTTCTTAGAAGAATGACTAGGGCTGGGCCAGAGAGAATACAGGATGATCCGGGAGCATGTTGTAGCGCCAGAAAGTAAAGAAAGTCTTAAAAAACAAAAAAGATAGGACTGTGTCAAAAGGATGCAGGACTAACCTGAAAGGGCTCCCAGTCACCAAAGTTGGAACAATTTGAGCAGTAAAATATATTGCAGTAGTCTTGGATCATAACCCAAAAAATAAAATAAATACCCTTAAGTCTAAGCTGATATAAGTAAATGATTAGATAAATAAATGAGAAAGATGGAACAAATAAGAAGATTTTCAATTAATAAATATAGAAGGAATGAGGAAAATAAATCACAGTTGGAGTAACACATAATAACTGCTCCAAGCAAAATCTATAAAGGAATGCTAAAATTAGATGAAATATTAAGAAACAGGGTATTTGCATAGGGTCAGAGCATCTCCTCTAAAATATTTATGAATTGCTGTGGATATTGTCAACATATGCTGGCAAATTACTTCTTCCATTAGGAAGTAGAGCTTAATTGTCCCCTTGAGTGTGGGCTGGACTTAGTAACTCACGTGTAACAAACTGAGTACTGGAAGGGAAAATAGCAACTTTATTAGTGGAGTGAACTGGCAGATACCACTTGAACCAAAGGACCAAGGTGACATCACAGGTAGTAGTCATGTTGATATCATGCGCTCCCTATATGGAAATAATGTGAAGAACAATTTACCTCTCTGATATTCTTCCTCCAATCTATAACCCTAGAATTCAAGTGTCAGGGTCATGAAAGACAAGGAAAGACTGAGAAACTGTCATAAATTCCAGGAGACTCAGGAGGTGTGACAATTTAAATCAACGTGGTATCTTGGATTTGATACTGGAAAAGAAAAAGGACATTAATGAGAAAACTGGTGAGATAAGATAAAGTTAGTAGCTTAGTGAAGATTATTGTGCCAGTGTTCGTTTCGTTGTTGTAATAAGCACATCATGGCCATGTAAGATGTTAATATTAAAAGAAGCAGGGCAAAGGGTATACAGACTCTCCATTCTGCCTTTGCAATTTTTTTTTTTTTCAAGTCAGGGTCTGGAGTGTAGTGGCATGATCACAGCTCACTGCAACCTTGAACTCCTGGACTGAACAACTCCACCCTCCTCAGCCTCTTGTGTAGCTGGGACTTCAGTCATGTGCCACCATGCCCAGCTAATTTTTTAATTTTTATTTTATAGTGACAAGGTCTTGCTGTGTTGCCCAAGCTGGTCTTGGACTCTTGGGTTCAAGCGGTCCTTCCCCTTTGACCTCTCAAAGTGCTGGGATTACAGGTGTGGACCAACGTAACTGGCCTCTCATTTTTTTTGAGTTGGAATCTCACTCTTTCACCCAGACTGGAGTGCAGTGGCTGCTCCCAGGCCCCGCAGCCTCCACCTGCTTGGCTCCGGCGATCCTTCCGCCTCAGCCTTTCAAGTAGCTGGAACTACAGGCGCACACTACCATGCCCGGCTAATTTTTTGATCTATTATAGAGATGAGGTCTTGCCAAGTTGTCCAGATGGGTCTTGAACCTGCGGGCTCAGGCAGTCCACTCATCTCAGGCTCCCAAAGTGCTGGGATTACAGGCTGAGCCACCAAGCCCGGCTTTGGCCTCTCTTTTTAATTCTTTTATAAATCACAAATTCCTGCAAAGTAAAAAGTTTCTTCAAGAGTCTTAATACATGCCATATATCCCTTTAGGTATTACAAAATGAATAAATAATATACTTTAAAAAAAGTTTTAAAGAAAAGGAGACCTCAAAAAGTAGGGTTTGGCTTTTTTTGGGGGATGTTTAGTTTTTTTTTGTCTTTGTTTTTGAGTCCGAGTCTCACTCTGTCACCCAGGCTGGAGGGTAGTGGCTTGCTCCTGGCCACTGCAGCCTCAACCTGCTGGGCTCAGGCGATCCTTCCACCTCAACCTTCCAAGTAGTTGGAATTACAGGCACATGCCACCATGCCCAACTAATTTTTTGTTTTGTTGTATTGTATGAGGTCTTGCCAAGTTGCCCAGGCTGGTCTCAAACCTATGGGCTCAAACAGTCCTCTCACCTCAGCCTCCCAAAGTGCTGGGATTATAGGCGGGAGCCACCGCACCTGGCATGGGGGTGTTTGGTTTTAAAGAATAAATGTCATGCTGAACAATAAGGTATTGGGTAACATTTTTGTTAGATTCTTAGCAAGCTCAGTAGGAATTAAGACTTGCCAGATTTTAAAGGATGACAAATAGTGAAGTCACGCTACTTCTTAATTTGAAATGGTTTACTGCCTTGATAAAGGTAATCTCTGGATATTTCAAATAGAATGAAAAAACATTGAGGCCTTAGGGTTTTGGTTTAAATTATTTATTTTCTTTCTCCAGATATAAAGACCTGATGCCACATGACTTGGCTAGAGCAGCACTTACGTAAGTAAATGCAGTTTTGTTTTAATTCTTATTTCATTTAAGGCACTTTCTCCAGTTTTTTTCTTTCTTTTTTTTTTGGAGATGTAGTTGGAGTTGGAGTCTTATTCCGTCCCCTAGGCCAGAGTGCAGCGCCACACTCACTGCCATCCCAGCGTCGACCTGCTGGGTTCAGGCGATCCTTCCTCCTCAGCCTTCCAAGTAGCCGGAACTGCAGACGCCCTGCTAATTTTTTTTTGATTTATTATGGAGACGAGGTGTCACCAAGTTGCCCGGGCTGTTCTTGAACCCGTGGGCTCAGGCAATCCCCTCACCTTGGCCTTCCAAAGTGCTGGGATTACAGGCTTGAGCCACTGCTCCTGGCCATGATAGTATTCTTTAGTGAGTACCCTTGCTAACCACAGGCCTAGATTGATCAGCCTAAACACAGTATACATATTTGATGATTGTCTTGGAACTTCAATACTGCATAAGGATAGCCGAACAGATCATATAGATATTTATTTAGAAAGAAGCCTAGAAAAGAGACCTGAAGATTCATGTGCAAACCAAGTAAAAATGTAAAATTAGGTGGGATTAAATGAGATTGGGTTGGATAAATAATTTGGTGAGCGTCATTAAATGTATTGATGTTTCTAGTAGAATAATACATAAGGCACTACCTCATTTATTTTCCATTGTCACTTTGCCTGTGTGTCCTCAATCAGCCATAGTTTTTTCCTGGTTTAGAAAAACGTTTCAGTTGACCTTTCTGCTCATTCTAACTCTAGTCCTATTTCTCTTCTTCCTGCCTGACTTTAAGCAGGAGTGAAAGTAGCAATTGATTCTTTTTTCTTCCTGTTCATTTCCTTTCCCTAATTTTATATTAATCATTTCCATTACGATTTCTTTACAGTAACCATACTTTGGAATCTTCTCTTGATGTTGGCTTTGTGATTGCAACATGTACCAGTCTTTTCTCAGGCCTCTGTCTCTTTGTACTCTCTAGCATTTAACTCTATAAGCTATGCTCAGCCATCTTCCTTTGGCTTCATATTATACCTTTATGATTTTCCTTCTATCTCCTGAATGATTCTTCTCCACTTTTTAAAAAACGGAATCTCTCCCTCTTTCTCTTTTTCAAAGGTATTTTGCAAGTTTCAGTTCTTAGAACTTAATATTTATCTGCATTCTTTCCCTTAAAAATCTCATCTACTTACATTTTTTTGTTTGTTGATGTAGAAGACTCCTGAATCTCCAAATTTGATCTCTTAGACACCTCGAGCTCAGCATGTCAAAAATCAAGATAATCTTTTCCCCCAAAGCTGGCTTAGTTTCCTATTTTTGATAATGGTGCCATTATGATTCCAGGAAGTTTGTAAGTTTTCCCTCAACTTTTTATTTTGAAAAATGTCACATGTACAATAAAATTGAAATAACCCAGTGAACACCTGAATACAGTCCACCTAGATTTAATGTATATATATTTTTTACCATTTTGCCATATTTACTATATCTATGTGGTTTGAACCATTTGACAATAAGCTGCAGACCTCATGACATTTCAACCCTAAACTTCAGTGTTTATCTCTTAATAAGAAGGATCTTCCCTGTTAATCACAGTACCACTATCATAGCTAAGATGGTAACAGTGATTCCATGATAACTTCTAACATCTATTCATAGTCAAATCCCCCTCAATTATTCTAAGAATGTCTTAAATGTTTATTTTTATTTATTTATTTATTTTTGAGTTGGAGTTACACTCTGTCACCCAGACTGGAGTGCAGTGGCCACTCCCGGCCACTGCAGCCTCGACCTGCTGGGCTCCGGCGATCCTTCCGCCTCAGCCTTCCAAGTAACTGGAACTACAGGCTTGTGCTACCACGCCCGGCTAATTTTTTTTGGTTTATTGTAGAGATGAGGTCTCGCCAAGTTGCCCAGATGGGTCTCGAACCCGCAGGCTCAGGCAATCCACTCACCTCGGCCTCCCAAAGTGCTGGGATTACAGGCTGAGCCACCGAGCCTGGCTAAATGTTTTTTTTAACCAAGACCCAGTCAAGTTTCATATTACAAATGGATATATCTCTTTTGTTTCTTTAAATGTTAAACATCTTCTTTCTTTCCCCTGCCCTCATGGCATTGACTTTTTGAAAAGTCCAGGCCATCTGTCCTATAAAATGTTCCACATTGTGAATGTTTCCTTATAATGATATTTTGCTCTTGTCTGAATATCCTGTGAACTAGAAGTTAGTTGTAGGGGTTTGATTAGATTCAGGCTAAATGTTTATTGGTAAGAATGCTTCATGGGTAACATAGTATATCACATCACATCAAGAGGCACATGATGTGTGATGTTAAATCTAACCACTCAGTCATGGTGATCTGATTGCCAAATCTTTTGGTTGTAAAGGTACACTTTCCCCTTTGCAATTAGAATTAGTAAGTAATCTGTAAAATGTTGTTTTAGCACCATGCAAATATCTTGTACTCCAGTAACCTCTTATCAAATGGTTTTTAGCATCTATTGCTCATTTTTGCCTGAATCACTTATTACATTGCAGATTACATATTTATGAGTTTTGTAATTATTTTATTCCTCCCTCATTTATTGGTTGGCATCTTTCTGTAAAGAAAAGCTTTCCTTTTTATTTTCATTGATGAGGATTTATGGATTTTTGTTTACTTATTGGGTTATAGCCAAGTTTAGTCATTACTTGTTTAAAAACTCAAATTGTGCCACATTTTATCTGTGGGAGCTCCTTCAAGTTGACTTCTTTGTCCCTTTTGTAGTTTAGTATTATTGTTTGAGGGATAATTTGCATGCAATCAAATGAGCAAATTTTAAGTGTATAGTTTGATGACTTCTGACAAATGTGTATACCATGTTTCTGTTTTTGACATGGTCCCATTTGTTTGTGAGTGCTTCCTTACTTTTGTCACAAAGAAGATGAATGAGATTCACTTTGTATTTTGCTTCAGACTTGGTTTCAGGCAAAAATGTATTTCTTAAAAAAATTCTTGTTTCTTTAATAGGGAATAGCATTCAGAAATCAAGTTTGGATTCAAGGAGTTCTCATTCCTACTGGAGTGTTATTGGTTCTAGTTTGTATCCCTGGGCAGAACTAGAATATGTGTACTATTTCAATTTTATGTTTATATTGATGTTTCACATTTCAATTGAACATACCTGAGATTTTACTTCATCTTTGATTTTATATTTGTTGCTTCTCTTTTTACTGAAAATTTGGTTCCTACTAACATTCACTAACAATAATGTTTACTTATCTATTTTATCCTATTCTAAATTATTATTTGTTCTTCTTCTCTAACTTCTCAATACTAATTGAGCATCAAATGTTGATTTTTAAAGTCACTCTTTCATTCATATCTTCTTTGATAAGGTGCCAAATGCTTGTGAAATTAAAGAAAAGAAGTCAGGTGTGGTACTTGTAATCCCAGCACTTTGGGAGGCTGAAGAGGGAGGAGCACTTGAGGCCAGGAGTTTGAGACCAGCTTGAACAATAAGTGAGACCCTGACTCTGCAAAAAATAGAAAAAGTACCTGGTTATGGTGCCAAGTGCTTGTAATCTCAGACACTTGGGAGGCTGAGGCAGGAGGATCACTTGAGCCCAAGAACTCCAGGTTACAGTGAGCCATGAACTTGTGGTGGCCATGAACGTGCCACTGCACTCCAACCTGGGTGACAGAGGGAGACCCTGTCGGAAATAAAACAAAACAAAAATAGAGATATAGACTCTTCCCTTTTTTTTTTTTTTTGAGTTGGAGTCTCAGTCACTCAGGCTGGAGTACAGTGGCATGTTCATGGCCACCACAGTCTCAACCTGCTAGGCTCAGGCAACCCAAGTAGCTGGAAGAACAGGTGTGTGCCACCATACCCAGCAAATTTTTTTTTAATTGTAGAGACGTGGTCTTGCCATGTTGCCCAGGATGGTCTCGAACCCATGGGCTCAGACAGTCTTCCTGCCTCTGTCTCCTAAAGTGCTGGGATTACAGGCGTGAGCCACCATGTATGGCTTCTCTGCCCTTCTAAATTCAGAGCTAACTTTTTTAAAGTACCGTGTTTTATGTAGTGATTCTGGTACTGCCTTGACGTGTGAAATGCTTCTTTGCTTTGGATTTCTGCTTCCAGGGGTTTGTTACATCGGACCAATGTCCCAAAGGAAGTTGTTGATTATATCATCTTTGGCACAGTTATTCAGGAGGTAAAAACAAGCAACGTGGCTAGAGAGGTGAGTAAGACAAACTTTATATTGTTCAAAGATTGATAGGAAACTGTCTGAATTCAGAGTAATAGAATTGGCTGTACTCAGTAGCTCACACCTGGAATCTCAACGCTTTGGGAGGCCAAAGAAAGAGGATTGTTTGAGCCCAGGAGTTCAAGAGCAGACGGGGCCACATAGAATTCATCTCTACAAAAAAAAAAAAAAAAATTAGTGGGGTGGTGGCATACACCTGTAGTCCCAGCAACTTTGGAAGCTGAGGGAAAAGGATCATCTGAGCCTAGGAAGTCGAGGAGGCTGCAGGCTATGATTGTGCCACCATACTCCAGCCTGGGGGACAGAATGAGACTCTAAGCAAAAAAAAAAAAGTAATATAGTTTACTTTATAAAAGCCTTTAAAATCTTTCAAGTTTATTTGACCTAAAATTGATTTTGCAACTTGAATAATAAATGTTATTTAATATTTACAAGACTTATACTATAAATCAGATGACATGCAGTATATTGGTAGATATTTATACTTACAATAAATCAAGTCAGCTATCTGAGCTGGTTTAGGAAATGTTCATTTGTCTGTCTCCTGTGTGAGGAAAATAGAGATTCTGACAAAGTGCAGCTGGTGTTACTTTTAGTAATGTTAGATATCACGGTTTTCTATTAACTTAAAATTTCAACAGTTTGCGAAGAACTAATTTCTTAATCTGTTTTTGTTAGTTGGAAGTAGCCTTGCTTATTCATTTGTTCCCATTGACTAGATGGCATGTAGGGCAGGTTTTTTTTAAAACTGTTTCACAGGGTTGACTTTTATCCTAGTTGGCACAGCTCCATGTAGTGTTTATTGGGTAACTAGATAATGATAGGCCTTGGAAGTTCTGTGACGTGTCCTGCAGGCATTTCACAGTCAAACACATCTTCTGGGCTTTGTTTCAATTTGAAAGTGATTATTTGGATAAAGTTGGCATCAAACCACATTTCTGTATACTAAGCACTTTCCCAGTTTCTGGCCTGTGCTTACTACGTCTTTGTGTTCAGTATAGTTATGAGGGTAGTAACTTCTATCACCGTTGGCCGAGAGAGAAGGGCAGATGAGCAGGACTGGAAGTATTAAACCTGCTGAAAGCCTGGCATTACTGAGACCCATAAAAATTTGCTGAATGTTATTGAGGGGCAGGAAAGAAGAACAGGAAGAGATTTTTTTCCCCCTCAGAAATTTTTTTTCCTTGGATCTTCACATTTCTGAATATATCAAATGTGGCAATTTTATGAGTACATCAAGCTGTTCACAATACATTTTTAACTTTTGCATTTGAAAATAACCAAGTGACTTTTATAACAGCACTGAAAAAGTAAACATTAAATTTGTTTGTTTTCTCTATATTTCATTCTTTCCTACAACCAAAGCCATCATGTTTTTCTCTGAATTTTTTCCTGGAAGTTTTATATCCATATGCATATCTCAGTTGTTGATTGACATGAAGTGGATTCTGTCTCCCTCCCCTTTACTAATATCAGTTATGTTGTATTTCATGTAGTTTTTGCAATTTCTGCAGGTAAAAGTCGAGTTGAGGGGATATGTTATGAGAATGTCACTTTATTGTAATCTAAAAGCTAACGTAATTTCCAGCTAAAGATTTTCTTTAAGACCTGTTGTCTGAATTCATACTGCTAATGTAAATCCTAAAGGTCTTCTAAAAAACCATCTGACTTTGTTGAAGTGGCTCAGTATATTTTCCTGCTCTTCCCCAGCATATTTTCCTGCTCTTCCCCTTAACCTCAGTTAGGGCATCTTTTTTCTTCATGCCTTGAGAGCGATTCAAACTTTAAATGGAAGCATGTGGACAGGGGTCACCAGCAGCCACCTCTGTTTAAAGCTCCTCTAGTCCTGGGAGTCAACTAGGGCCAAGGGCGGCACGTGGTAGAAAGGCCCTTATGAGGATCTGGCCGTTGTGACCGGAGTACCCTTACACTTGCCCTACTGCAGAGCTCTCCTCTCCTGCCCCTGAAGACTTGCCTGTCTTCCCTTGGGATCAGTTTATGTTGAGAGGTTGATGTGCAGCTGCCAGGCAGTAGTTTTCAGCAAAGTAGATTGGGTACTTTGTGTCAGGCCTGCCTGGAAAGACCAGAAAAAGGTCACATTGCACATATGCTACTGGACATTTCTATTTCTATAGATTATGGTGAGCAGTATAAAAGTAATATAAGTATAGAGGCAAAAATCTGTTCAGAAACATTGAACCTCTAATCTACCTTGGAAATGTATTTATTTTACCAAATTATAGGAGAGTTTGTATTCTGAGGATAATTAAATAGTTTCATTAAAAGACCACTAACTGATAATAAATTCCCCATAATGGAATCCAGAATTTCATAGTAAATAGCATGTGAGAGGGTATATATTTTGTGGGGAGGGAGGGTTGGAAGCTTTATTTTTTTATTTTTATTTTTATTTTTTTTGAGTTGGAGTCTCACTCGGTCGCCCAGACTGGAGTGCAGTGCCGCTCCCGGCCACTGCAGCCTCGCCTGCTGGGCTCCAGCAATCCTTCCGCCTCAGCCTTCCGAGTAGCCGGAATTACAGGCATGAGCTGCCACGCCCGGCTGATTTTTTTTTTATTTATTGTAGAGATGAGGTCTCGCTGCCCAGGCGGGTCTCAAACCCGCGGGCTCAGGCAATCCACTCAACTCAGCCTCCCAAAGGCGCGGGATTACAGGCTGAGCCACCGAGCCCGGTGGAAGCTTTATTTTTTTTAATTTTTATTTATTTATTTATTTTTTTGAGTTGGAGTCTCATTCTGTCGCCCAGACTGGAGTGCAGTGGCCGCTCCCGGCCACCGCAGCC